CATCAACTCCTTATCACAGAACCTTTGACATTACTAGAGTACAGTCAGCACCACAAATGATAAACCCCTGAACAAATAAAAAAGGTAGTTTATAAATGAAATCTTGTCTTTTCTTTTTGTCTTTTTTGAGTTAACTCTTAACTCTAAAATTCCCTACTCCCTTCCTTCTGTTTCTCAACAAATAGAATGGGGATGATAAACTGTAAGATCCCTGGAAATGAAAGGACTTTCTTTTTAATAGGGCACAGTGGCAGCTATTTTCCTGCTACCTTCCATGTAGAATTTTTCAAGTTCATTCAGTTGCTAAACAGCAGCAAACTATTTTAGTAATTTACACACACATACCCTTTCCCCCTCCACCCTTCTGTCTAATCTTCTTTTCTCCCAGAGTTGAACTATATTAAGCAGTCCTAGAATTGAGGAGCAGTTTAAGTGAAAATTAACCCTTATCATTAAAACAAGAATAAAAAATGGAATAGTTGTATAGTATCCATTTAGGAAAGCCTAAAATGAAAAGAGATATAATTACCGAGGAACAGAAAAGAATAATATTTTACTCCTTTTATTGAGGGTTCTTTATCCTCCTATGTCCAGGTACATAGCAGAATATTATTCTGAACTATCATCAGATTGACTGTGTCCCTTCCATTCCAGTCTGACTAGGCTATAGTTACAGCTCCATATATTACTGCATTTCTAGTTTGATGTGGTTGTTTTCCAGCTTGTGTCCTTGTTCCAGTCCCTCCCCTAACTAATTCAACTAATTATTCTTTCTGTGTTGGTTTTGCCTCCTAGGGAGAGAGTATATTACTGAATATCTTATTCTTACCAATGAGAGTATTATTAGTACATTAGGAGAATGCTCAATTCACAACTCATTTTAAATTATTTAAGGGCTGGAGATGTGGCTCAAGTGGTAGAGCACCTGCTTAGCAAGCACAAGACCCTGAGTTCAAAATCCCAGCATCACCAAAGAAAAACTATTTAACTCAACCTCATGGTTTTATGAAGCAAATCATGCTTTGCTAATATTTACTTTTTTACTATACTTCTATTTTCACATTGATAGGTCATTAAAAAAAGGAAAAATTATTCAGGAGAAGGAAAAAGTCTGTTAACAAAAAAAGACTTGGTAGCAGCTGTGTTGTAAGATTTGTGAATTGGGGAATTAGGATTACTCACTTCTTCCATGAAAGTGGAAATGAGATGTTGAGGAAGAGTATCACAGCAGAAGGTGCTGGCTCAGACACTAATGCTAGAGGAGTAAGGGATTGATGCCATGCTTGTAAAATACTCTGTACTCATCAACATACTCAACAGCGTAACAGCTGAATTCTTGAAAATCTGCATGGTAGGTACTTAGATCATTGGTGAAGCCAGAAAAACCCTAGAAAACTTACAACTTTATTTAAAAGCAGCACTAAATAAAGTGAATAAGTTTTATAAATCTTGTTAATAATAGCTACTAAATAACTTCACTTTATTGATTGCTAGAAACTTTAGAATTTCTACTCTGTTCAAAAGAAAAGGTTTTTCTTAATGTTTGCAACTTTATTTTAATTCAATACACTTTGTAAATCATTTGCATTTTTTTATATGCCTGTTGTAAAGCTTTTTCCTTTTTTGCTCAGTAATGGAGTTGGAACTCAGGCCCTTTGCTTCCTAGGTAGGCACTATAACACTTAAGCCACACTCCCACACTTCCTATTTTTTTGGCAGGGGGACTGGGGTTTGAACATACGGCTTTGTGTTTCAAAGCAGGCACTCTACCACTTGAGCCACATCTCCAGTCTATTTTTGGTCTGGTTATTTTGGAGGTGGAGTCTCTTGACTCCACACCTTGTTTGCTGGAGCTGGCCTTGAACTATGATCCTTCCAATCTCAGTTTCCCAAGTAGCTAAGATTATAGGTATGAGCTACCAGTACCCTGTCAATTTGCATTAAATTTTGAGGTGAAAGGAATGACAATACAAAGTGTACAAAAAATGAAGTTGACAAAGTCATAATATTATGAAGAGACTGAGATTTGTAATAATTTGTGAGACAAAATGATGACAAACTACTCAGTTCCATTTTTAGTTTTGGACTAACTCAAATTTAAGTGACTCACTGTTCACTAGGCACTAGCATAAAAAGACTTTTTATCAGCCTTGTCACACTCTTAAGTTTACTTGCTCTTTCCATATGCCAGTATCACAAATTTTTTCTACATAACTTTTTCATTGCTTGTTTAGTTCTGTGTAGTAAGTGCCTGATCCTGGCCAATGAGTAGGCTTAAAGGCAGCACCTCCCCCCCCTTTTTTTTTAATGCACGTAAGGTGATAGATGTGCCAGTTACCCTTAACTGATCATTACATGTATACGTATATTGAAATGTCACCCTATACCATTTAAGCATGTGCAATTATAAATAAATATTTTTAAGTAAACATGTTTCTTCCTCATTAAACCTTTATTTTGTTTTTCACTCATTCTTTAACATTCATTCAAACCACGATCCTCCTGATCTCTGCCTCCTAGGTAGCTAGGATTACAGGTGTGAGCCACCACCACCTGGTTTAACATTCATTCTTTATGTATCTAGTATTTTTTTTCAGTACTGTACTAGGCAGTAGGCATACAGCGATGCATAAAGATACTTCCCTTTTCTTATAGAGCATATAGCCTCGAAGAGGAATAATAATTAACATTACAACCTCCTCCCTAACACTTCATATGTTACTTAATTTTTTTACATAGCACTTACCTACATCCAAAATTCTGTGCTTATTATTTGTTTTAGCTTTGTTTGATCCCACTGTCTTAATCTATTTGGGTTTCTATAACAAAATACCATAGACAGGGTTATTTTTCACAGTTTTGGAGGCAGGAAAGTCTGAGATCAAAGTACTGACACATTCTGTGTCCAGTGAGGGGTCACTGGTTCATAAATGGTACCTCTTGCTATGTTCTCACTTGGTGTAAGGGGCATTAATTCCACCCATGAGGGCTCATGACCTAGTCACCTCCCTACTTCCTGAGTCTTACCACGTTGGTGATTAGGTTTCAACATAAGAATTTGAGCTGGGGAGAGGGGCACATTGAGAACACATCTACAGCCTACAGAATGTTAGCTATGTGAGGGCAAGGAGTTTTGTGTGTTTTGCTTAAAGAATGTTTGTTGGTTCAGAAGTGAGGAGGGCACATCTAGTCAGTTACCTTGTGATCTTTGTTCTGCTTCAGCATGTTTTAGCTATACTGCTACATCCTTATTTTAGGCATTTAAAAAAATTATTTTTGCATTTCTGCCTTATCAATTAAAGTAGGTTCCAAGCAATTCTCCTGCTTGTTGCACATTTCTGTTTCAGATGAATATCAACACTCTTTATAAAATTTAGGTCTCAATTTCTCTAGTGACTTGCCATCCTTAAGGTAAACCATACTCCTTATCTTTTCACTTTTGGGTACTGTCCACCCTTTTTCATTTCTTTGCTGCTCCCTGCTCTCCATCTCAAACTTGATGCTACAGTAGTACTAGGAGTCACCAAATATATTGTACTTCTTCAAGCTTCTTTTCTGGTGTCTCTAGACCAGAGACATCAGCATAACTTGCAAACTAGTCAGAAATACAAATTCTTGGGCTCCATCCTGAAGCCTACAGAATCACAAACTGTGGTGTAGGACTTAGCAAGGTGTGCAAACTTTCCAGGAGATTCTGCTGTACCTTAAATTTGAGAACCATTGCTTTAATCCTTTTTAAAGTTAACTTCCTTAAGTCCAGCCATTAATTACCATACTTTTCAGCATCCATTTTATTTATATAACTCTCAATTTAGATCTCTGAGCCTGATTCCTTTCAATCCTATTTTTAAAATTATTTATTGGACATCTGTCCTGGCTATCCTTCCAGTGCTTCACTCTATGTAGGCTCTAAACAAAATTCATGATCCATCTCCCGAAATCTGCTTTACATACTGTTTTCCATTTCCTCCCAGCCTTGTAGCTGCGATTGTTCAATTGTGCAATATTTTCCATTTTCTATTTTATCTTGCTGTAAAGGAACAAAACAACAGATTTTTTTTTAAAAACCTAAAATCTGCTATCCAAAATAGGATGATTTTAATGAAGTTACCATTATTTGTAGACCATCTGTTAAAATACATTTTTCTCTTATTCTCCTTTATTGCTTCCCTTCCTGCTTTCCCTCTCCTTACATTTCTTTCTCTTAAAAACTTAGAGACTACGTTGAATCTTGACCTCAGTTGCCCAATTTCTGTCATAAAGTTGGAGGGGTCCTTGAGCCAGGGCTACCAGCGTGATAACTTACACTAGTGCCAAAGGGGAAACCAGGCAACATTTAGGATATCCCTGTAAAAGTCCTACTTTCAAAATTAGTAAGTAGATAATCTCAAAGGACTGAACAGATTTCCTAAGTCAAAAATGTACAGTGAGATTTCTGCTAGAGACATAAGGAATTCCAAAGATGTGAGTAAGACATTTTGACACTCAATTTTAAGTATCTATTAAATGAATAAATTAAAGCTTTTAAAGGAAAGAACAAACAGCTTTGCCATAGAGATTTAGATATATCCTTCTCTGAAGGAGAAAGGATAAATTAAAATACTGTTTCAGAGGCTGGGGGTATAGCTTAGTGGAAGAGCTCATGCTTTGCCCCTGCAAGGACCTGGGCTTAATCTCCAGCACCAATAAAATACTATTTCAGTATAAAGTTTCTAGTTTAATTTTTAAAATTCATGTTTACTTACATGTGTGCCTTCCTGTTTTCTTTGATACACATTTTAAATGTCAAGTTACTTTATATGTTGTATTCTAATGGTTTGACCATTTATCTTGCACTATAAATTTTAACTGGTTATAGTTCTATTTTTGTTGAACAGGAAAGATAATTTATGTTTTACATATGAAAATCATAATATATATTCTCATAACATGAAGTATTCGTTCATAAAAACATATTTTAATGTTATAATTAAAAACCTTTCTTTTTAACATGCACACAGGAAACCTCGACCTGTCTCCCAGTTGGTTGCACAGCAGGTTACTCAGCAGTTTGTGCCCCCTACACAATCAAAGAAAGAGAAAAAAGATAAAGTAGAAAAAGAAAAAAGTGAAAAGGAAACAACTAGCAAAAAGAACAGTCATAAGAAAACCAGGTAAATTTGAAGAGTGTTTTATGGCATTTTTGAAATAATAAAATTAACCATTTAATATTCTTTTTTAATATTTATATTCTTACATATACAGTGAAAGTAAAATATTTCATCTCTTTATTATAAAGTATCATGAAAGTTCCCCTGAGTTCGAAAGGTATACTGACAAACCAAAGGTCAACAAATAAAAGCTTAAATGTAAGGATGCTTTTTTCCTTTTACTGGGTTTTTAAAAGACAGTTGTATCTGTTCTTTTTCCTTCAAAAAGCATCCAGGAAAGCATTTTTCAAAATATTGAACTGATAATTGCATGGGCTTTGACCAATTGAAATGGTTCTGGGTCCACTCAAAACAGTCAGTGCCCATCAGTGGAGTGAGAGCTCTTGCATTCAGCCTGACCTTAGCTTTCATCAGCTTTCTCTGTGGTGCAGCTGTCTCCTTGTTGTGCTAAAACATTTGTCTCAATAAAACTAATAATCTGCCTGCTAATTGTAGTATAAATTTAATGTATAATTAAGGAACTACTTCTAGGCAGTCAAGTTTTTTGGCACATTGAAGGTTCATAAATGATTACTTTTATTACTGTTAATGATTTGAAACATTTAATATTTTTGTGACTTTACATATACATTAATTTTGTGACTTTTGCCTAATATATTACTTAGTATTACTCAGAAATTTGGTAGGGGAAAAGCTAGTTTAAAAATTCATCATTTTTTGTGTTTAGGCCAAGATTAAAAAATGTGGATCGGAGTAGTGCTCAGCATTTGGAAGTTACCGTTGGAGATCTAACAGTCATTATTACAGACTTTAAGGAGAAAACAAAGTCACCGCCTGCATGTAGTGCTGCTTCTGCAGATCAACACAGTCAGAGCGGCTCCAGCTCTGATAACACAGAGAGAGGAATGTCCAGATCATCTTCCCCCAGAGGAGAAGCCTCATCATTGAATGGAGAATCTCATTAAAGATGATTTTCTTCAGTTTCTTAGTCACTTCTCTCCTACCATGCAGATATACAGATTATGCCAACAAATACCACATTTTCATGACAAACACATCTGTGCACAATCCATAATTTGAGTTTTACGTAAGGTAAAAATCTGTCAGAATTTATTAGATTTTATTGCAGTTTATGCCTACCAAACAGATTTAACATTTTGGTCTCTGAAGTTACGTGCCATGAAAATGTGGTTGAATTATTCATTACGCAGTGTTATTGGTAAGTCTATTTTCACTTTTAGTTTAGTGAATTCTAACACATAATTCTTGAATTCTCTACTATTGGCATGTAACAAGTTTAAATTTTTTGTTACATAGTGCAAGCTGCCTAAATATGTATTATTTGAGAATTGTGAAACAAATAGTTATATGTATACAAGTCAAAGATCAACTTAATCAACTATTGCTGCAACAGGATTTTCATAATGGTTATCCTCTTAAATACACCTGCTGGTACTTGGTGTGGTTAAATAGAAAAGTTGTTATTAAATAAAGAATTTGTATGAACATTTTCCAATGTTTTTGACACATTTCACTAAATTATTGTTTCTGATTTTATCCATTTTTGCTTGTTTGCTTATTTTTCAAAACATTCATTTATTGTAATGTTTGCTAGAAGACTAGTAAACAATAAAACATTGATTACTTAGCTTTTAATTCAGGTTTAGTGCTATTGTCTTTGAACACTGGTATTTTCTGTATTATATAAAACATTAAAATTCAAATAATTATAATCACTTGGCAAAAATAGAAAAGAAACTTGCCATATTTTAAAAGCTGCAATTTTGGAAAAGCTTTAACGTAAATAATAGTTTTATCACTGTTTCCTTGTTCTAAACTTATCCAGGGTCATAGACTTATGAGTCTAATTAATACAGAAATGGGAACTGTTGCTCAGAACTTGGAAATAACTAATCTTAAGTCAGTTTAATTGGCCTCTAAGTACAACAATTCTTATGAAAACCATAGTACCCTGTTTTCACACACACTGCCAATTTATGCATTTATCCATATTCGGAAATAAAGTATTTACAGCCCCGCTCACTAATATGTACAATTACCAATAAAATATTTTTATGACTACAGATTTTGCATTTTTGTTTACAATTAAAATGTGTTATGTTGTATTTAAAAATCCAACTTGGAACCACACAGTAATTCTTAAATTCTCCTGGGGTCTCCTGCTTTCTGTTTGCTTAGTATGTATCCACCCATAGGAGACTTTTGAAATGTAAATCAATTTGAAAAGGTATCTTGGATACAAAATAGCACATAAAAGACATCATGATATCATTTGAAGAAAAAAAAGACTGTAGACCCTGACACTTGTATTTGGTGGTTTCTTGTGATAATGTAATTTCTGTTTAATTGCAGTACTTTTTACGGGCGCAGTGGTACTGTCTTTTGTTAGATGCTAGTTGTGAAATACAGTTAATTGCATACAGTAAAAGTCTGTGATTAAAACATTCATATACCTCATCCTTTAGTGTTGTTAAATGAAAAATCAAAATTTGTGTTTACTATAAGATACTTTTAATAGGATACCAAGTAACTGGTTATGTTCTTTTTAAAACATGATTTTTTTTTGGTCTTTACCTCTGTTTTTCATGTTTCAAATATTTTATATATTCATTTGAGGGGAACTGCAAGAATTAAAAATAACTGTAATAGGGAAATATTCCAGTTCTTAAATCAAACTGTGGTGTTAAGGCATTACATCATAATCAAGTATTTTCAGGATGTATTTTAAATGGACTGTAGGAGAAAAAAATCTCACAGAAGATGGGATTTTACTTGAGTAGGGCATAGGTGGGAAGATAGTATGACACAGAGATTTCAGAGTGCTAACTGAAACCTTGTGTTTGAATCTCTTATAAACCTCAAGCCTGAGCACATAAATTAACTCAAACCCATTTCCCATCTATAAAACAGGGATAATGATGGTCATATCTTAGCTCATAGGGTTAGGGGAAGGATTAAATGTCAATCTTAATGTCAGTTCCTAACACTTACCTGACACATACTGGTTGTTTAGTAAATGTGAGCCTTTACTGTCATTATAGGTAAAATCTCATTACAAAAATACAAAAAACTTTCTGTAACAAAATAATTTCTATGCCCTCTTGGGTAACGTAAAAGAGTAGGTTACACAGATGTTTGCTTTGGTCCCACAAAGAACATTTTTGCTTTATTAATGAACCTGATGGCGTACACTATGAGGCTGTAGAAATGAACTGAGTTGCCTAGTTTGAAATTTTGTTTTCCTTTTATTAATCACAATTATCTTCACCTGCCTTCATTTCACTCTACCTCAAATATACTTCCACACCAGGAAAACATGCAAATTCTGTAAATATTTGCACCTCATGTTAAAATATGCAAAATGATTCAGAGCCTCAGCTTGGGCTACATTTTTAGCTCTGTTTCATGATTTTACCATGTGGTTTTTAGTGGCGGATTCTTTTAACCAAATTCCGTACACAAAGAATTTGGATGTTTTTCAGAATTTATTATCTTGCTTTAATACAAGTAAGAGTGAAGGTATACATTGAGGCATACAAGAAAGCATATTCTTAAAACTTTTTGTATTATACAATAGAAACTATTAATAACTTAAAGGCTTTATTTTTATCAAATTTATCTAAAATTGTAGTGATTATAATAGACAAAGTGAAAACATTAATGAAGGAAGAAAAACCTCAGCCTTCTTAAGTTGATAGTATATATGTTGACTTTCTTTTAGATAGCAATCCTTGTTGCTTGAAAGACTAATTTTGGTATATTACATGCATTAATGGCAAATGGTCTAGTTGTAGCTTCTGCTGAGGCCTCCTTTTACTTTCTTAGTCTGCAACTTACCTTTTCTTTTCTGAAGGACCTAGTGTAGGAACTAGTAAGCCACTGATAGAAATTTCTGTACTGTATTTTGAGAATTAAGTGGAAAAAAAAATGTGTGTAAGGAGAGGCTAACAGTAAAATAATGCTTTGACTTCTTAGTACCCCTTCCCACCTCCGGCACCTTGAGTTGTCTGGAACAAAAAATGTAGAAAAGTTGAAGTGCAGAAAAGTCATCAGTGACAAAAATAGCTGAGTGAAATCAAAAGTCAGTGACAGAGAACACAGGATGTGACTGATCATTTAAGCAAAAGGAAAAGAATATCTTCACTGGCTATTAAGGATGATGAAAAATAAGCCCCATTAATATCAAAAGCAAGGAAAGTCAGGAGTAGAAGAAAGAAAGTGAAGGGGAAAGGGAAAAAGAAAGGCAGCAGAAGTGGCAAGGGGCACTACGATGTAATCTGGGTAATGGAGAATCACTATGAAGGGAGAGAACACAGAATTTATAGCGTATCAGTCTTTGAGGATGTTTTAGTGACATGCTATGATAAATCCTTTTCATAATGACTCAGTCATTAAAATTGAGTACTTAAATTGTTTACTAGGGCAGTAATGTGCATAATACACTAGAATGTTTTTTCATCAAAAACCAATTCACCGTTAAGAAGCTCTAAGAGAAGTTTACCACGAATTACATACTTTTCTGAGCACACATTTCTACTAGTAGCCTAGGTCATTTAAATACTGTGTTTTAAATGTATTTATTAGACTTTGTGCTTAGTGCAGATCTCTTCCTGCCTTTATAGAATGGGCCAGCTCTGTAGCATGTGAAATGCTTTGATAAGGCCAGATACATGAACAGAAGAATCAGTTAGTGTTCTGGAAGGTTTCAGTGCTCTGGGACATGTTTCACATGCTGTTTTTTTCTTGTCCCATTAGTGGGAGTATTATAGATGATGGTTAACTATCGTACTTTTCAGTGTTTTCCTGATCTAGCTAGTATTATTTAACTCATTGAATACTAAGTATATTTTGGGTGGTGAGCACTGTACATGGGGTTGGTTGCCAAGAGGACAAAGCTATGGAACTGAAATCTTGGAGAAAGCTAACTGAGTGCCACCACCGAAACAGTAAAACTATGTAGACAATACAGAAATAGAGATCATACTTGCCACCCTTTTCTTTCTAGAAAATTCACCCTGACTGAAGTATCCACTGCAAATCCACATTGAAAGTGTTGGGCCCTCATTTTGAGGTCTGATAAAAAAAAGTTGGGTATGACCAGTATCTTCAGCCAGCTACCATTTATTACTTCAGCTTGAAATTTCAAAAGTTTAAGATTTTAGCCATTAATTTGAGATAACTCATCATCTCCTACTTTTTAAAAGTTAAGACAGCTGAATGAGGTCTGCCATTCCTTTCTCATGAAGGGGTTGAAGAAAGATGTATCACTGTCCAAATGATAAATTTTACTCAGACATAATTCCAGGAGAGCTGTACTGTATCAATCTGACCTGTTTTTATGAACAATGATACATTAATTGATTTTTTTCTCAACTTTTGTTGTAGCTACGAGGAAAGAAATTTCAGATTAAAACTGGCACAATTTAATAATGTAGGACTCAATGACCTGCTTGTCTATATTCTAACTTCTTATTCTTGATCTATTTGGTTCCAGATTCTGAGTTTGTTTTTTATCCTGTGCTTATAAACTGGCTTAACTCTTGTGTGTAAATAAGACTAGTGATAATTTTTTTAACTGCTTTATTTCAAGGTGTGAAGGTATGTCCCAGTGGGAAATCTGGGGTCAGGGATCCAGTGAAACAGATACTTCCCACTGGAATTCCTGAAGAATTAAAGTAATCTACTGGACTCTTGTAGGTCCTCAGATTACATGTAGGCTTCCACCTGCTGACCTGTGTGGAGAAAGGGCATGTCTTTTACTTTTTCATGAACACTTTTAGCAACGAAATTCAGAAACTAAGCTGGAAACCAAGATATAAGTTAGACTGAACATGTCATTTTTATTGTCACCTTTTAATTCATAATAGCAACAATGAAATGGTCCTGTGTCTACTTTTGGGATCAGCAAAAATAGGAAGAGTTGGGAGACTGTAAAAGTAGCTTGAGAGAAGACAACTAAAGGACATCCTAGATGGTGAACACATCTTTATAAGAGGAAGTAGGCTGAGTTCCCAAAATAGCAGAGATCTAGCCTTAGGCTCAAGAGGTAGTCTTAATAGAATATAAAAAAGCTTATTTCTAGCACAGAAGAAAAATAAACACTCTGAGGGACACTCAGGAAAAAAAAAATCATTTTTGGGTTTTTGAGACAGTCTCACTATGGAGGCCAGACTGATTTCAAACTTGTATTGCTCTTGCCTCAGCCTCTTGGGTGCTGGGATTACAGGTGTGAACCACCACACCTAGCTAAGAATCATTTTAATACATTTCTATTAAACTATAGAAATGTAAGAATAAAAGAAACCAAACATAAGACTGCCCAGTGATGTTATTTCTGTGTAGAAAAAGGTAATAAGAATTCTGAATTTCGTTTTCAGCTAAATTCTGGACTTTGGAAATGTGATGTTATCACAATTCTTACTATTTTCAGCCTTCAATTTTTGAGGAACCTGTGTCAGGAGAGCCTTGTTAATTTGGTCAATACTGTAATTATGAGCCCTGATTTATGCTTTGTTCATGGGCTAAACAAATTTTTAAAAAATAATAGATTATGGGGAGGGTGAGTGTTTGCCTAGCATGCAAAAGGACCTGGGTTCAATTCCCAGCACCCCTCCCCCCACAAAAAAAAATGATTTCTAAAGACTGACCCTGGGTGAGGTATGAGATGTCTATAGGGTGGGTGTTCCTTGTTCTTTCCCCACCTGGCCAGCTCCCTTTATCTGTCCCTTTCTTATAGCTGGAAATGAAAGCCAAGCTACATTTTCAGGTCATACAGGAGCATAAGACATCCCTTCATTGGTTTTCCACTGTCTTCCCCCAACCCCATACAGGGTCTTACTATGAAGCCAAGGTTTGCCTCAAACTTGAGACCTTCTTGCCTCTGCTAAGGGCTGGGCACCACCATGCTTGGCTTTCCACTGCCTCATTTTCTAGCACTGGGGCCTATAGCTAAAAGGTTTTTTTTTTTTTTTTTTTTTAGCCAATGAAGAGAATCATTTCACTCTTTCCTCCTAATCCTGGTTATACTCTTTTTCCCACATTTACTAGTCTGAACAGACACTTTTAACGACATAACTTTTTGTTTAACAGAATTATTTTCCAATTTTTCCTCCAGTCCAACAAAGTCTCTAGGAATTGGACTGTGGAAAAAGAAGAAATACAGTATAAGCCAAATAGAGGTGAGAATAAATTTCACTTTTTGTCTGAGTTTCTGATTCTTTGTGCTCTGCAACTAACTTGACACTCTGTAAAGTTTGTTTTAACCTCCGAGACCAGTCCGATGAGATTTTCACATAACATGGATTCCTTTCTGCTTTCCCTTCTAATCACTATCACTCAATGTAGTTTTTTTTTTTTTTTTTTTTTTGCTTTTAATGTTGGAGTTCTTGGTCAGACTTGAAAACACTTTTTAACAAAAGTCATTGGCAGCCTCTAAGTTATTCTTGGTGACCTTCATATCCTTCTGGCCAAACTTGAGACCAGAGGGCATATTAAAAAGAAATCACCTGAATGTAGATTTATTTACTCACAGTGAGGTAACATGGTACAATGGGGAAATGACACGCACTCTGGATTTTCCAAGATTCTCAAATTGTGATCATTATTAACTGTGTAACGGGTTAATGAACCTCTCTGAATTTCAGTTCTTTGAGACAAGATCTTGTCTGGAACTTGACATCCTCCTGCCTTTAGCCTCCAGTGCTGGAATTACAAGTGTGCACTTTGTTTTTTAAAACAACAAAATATCTTAATGTATAGGTTTTTTTTTTTTGAATTTTCCTGTAAAAAGGAATAGAATTTAGCTTTTCCCATAAGATTTTTTTGTTTTTGCTTTTTGAGATAGGGTCTTGATACGTAGCCCAGGCTGGCATCTGACTAGAGGTCCTTCTGCATCTGCCCTCTGAGTGCTGGGATTAGGGAAGCGAGCACCACTGCCCTTGGCTGGGACTTTTTTTTAAATCAAAAACTCATGTTGGGGTGTGGCTCAAGTGGTACAGCACCTGCCTAGCATGCACTCTACCTAGCAAAGGCCCTGGGTTCAAATCCCAGTACTTTCAAAAATAAAAAGAATAAAAAACTCAGAGGTAGGAAGGAAATGCTAAGCAGGACTCCAAATCTACTCTAGAGTGATTTAAGAAAGCCATTTAAAAAACCCCTCCATTATATGTCCAACATGTAATTTATAAAAGCAAGGTGAATCCTTTAAACAGAAGCTTTTTGAGATTTGGTTTAATCTTGAATTGGAATTTTCCACATAATAGAGATATGTCTCCTAATTTAAATAAACAAATACTGCTACTTTAAAATTTCTTTTTATTCACTTAAATATACCTTTTCATAGGATAAAGGAAGACCAACATGGATTTAGTAATTTAGATATAACCAATAGATTTAGGAATATATATAATATAAATGAAAGAAATACTATGGCATCAAGATATTTAAAATTTTCAATAACTTAAAATTAATTTTAGTGATATAAAAATGTACACATCCTGGAAATGATCTGAGGGAATGTCAGCACAATTCCTTAGACTTTTAAGATGACCACTTGAGATGTATGGGTAATACAAAAACCACTTCTATTTTTATAATGCCTTCTGTACTTTTTCAATAGAATTCCTTTGGTAATTAAAGGATTAAAAGGAACTTAAAGGGACGATGTAGTTCAGAACCTTGATGTCAAGTAAATGAATAATCCCTCTGGATGTGGTCTTTTCCATAGATTGCTGCAGAAACGAAAACTGCCTGGCCCCCTTTTGTGCCATTCCAATATTTTAGCAAACCATGGGTGAAAAAGTTATTAATTTTTACTACATGTAGTTTGCGGGAAAAGAGAACACTTGTTAACCATCTTTTAAACGTTCTTGAGTACTAGCTCTTACTCTAGTTTCTTGGTACCCTTCAACTTTCTCAAAAATTATTTTCATTCTTATCAATGCTTTTAGTCTCTGTGCTTCATTAAGTTTATCTTTATTTCCCTAAGAATTGTAAGGCGTACTGGAAATATTTAGTATTCTCCTTGTTTTTACTGATCTGTCTCCTGGGCAGTACACTCCGTATTTCTGAATACTGTGCATCTGAGCCCCTTGTCTGGCATGTAGAAAATATTCAATAAATGCTTATCGAATGAACAAATGTATGTTTTTATTTTCCTTACACATCTTGATAGCATTCTGGTTTTCAGTTTTTGTCAGGTAAGGCAAGAAATTTAGTCCATATTGGGGAGGAGGCGTTCAGTGCCTTTGCCATGATCAGAGCCAGCACTTCTGCAGCACTTTTGGAGCTACTACTACGTTGTGCAGCATTTCTCCACATTGCTTTTCTTGGCCAAACCCAACGATCCAGATGCAATTTGCACAATTAACAGTGTGATTTTCCTCCACGAACTGTGTGTGTATTTTTAAACCTCACTTTTTGGCAGGGGAGCTGCTTTCTCCAATCTCTCATCTCTGGCCAGTCTCCACTGCAGCCAGAATCTGCTCTCTAAAATGCAAATGTGATCATGTTATTTCCTTACTGAAACACTCTTCAATGGTTTACCATTGTCTGGCAGATTTGAGTTCAAACAACTGGGTATGCCAGGCGAGGCACTCAAATATCTGGCCCCTTCCTTGTCTTATCGCTCAACTTAGTATCCACTCTTGCATTCCCTTAGCTGGCGGTATCAAACTTCTCACAGATGCCTGAACACAAGAGTTTGTTTCATTGATCCATCACACTAGGATTATTTCCCTTACCCAACTCTAGACTCCAGGGCTATCCTCTTGACCACACTCAGAGGTAGAACCAATGGCAATTTTGGGTGTATGTTCCACAGCCTTACGGGTCCATATCCTAATTAATTGTGTCGCCAAGTTGCACGCACTTCCAAGTAAGCACGGTTTCACCCTCGTCCCCACTTGGCTTCCGTATACCCCAAGACACAGTGCTCTATAAAGGTCAGTGAAACAGCGAGGAAGAGGAAGAAGACGCAGGCAAGGAAGGAGAAACTCTTTGGGGAGGATACCAATTGTGCTTTGGATATGCAAATAAGTTTTAAAGAAAATAAAAAATTAGGCAGATTCCCCTCCCTCAATTACAGCATGTTGGGAAGTAAGGGAGGCAAAAAGAAACAGAACTTTAGAAGATAGCTGGCTGGAGTGGCTTGTGCAACATTACAGAAATTTAAGGGCTTGAGGAAGAGTCCCTGCTGAGGAGACTGGCACATAAAGGGGCTTGGCTAAGTGCCTTCTAAGTGCTAGGCGTCTTTCCTTCGTTACACGATTCCATCTTTATAATCACCCTATGACAAGGATTCGCCAGTTTAAAGATGAAGAAACACACTCTGGAATTTAGGTTGCTCAACGATCACAGACTACCATGTTGAAAGACACACACACACACAACATACATTTTTGGCGGGACTAGGATTTGAATTAAGGGCCTCGCGCTTGCAAAACAGATACCCCCCACTGCTTGATTCACACCACAGTCCATTTTCCTCCATCTATTTTAGAGACAGAATCTCCCGAACTATTTGCCCAGGTTGGCCTCGAACCTTGATTTTACCGATCTCAGCCTACCAAGTATTTAGGATTACAGGCGTGAGCCACCAGCAACCGGCAAGAACCATTATTTGAATTTGGATCAACAGCCTTCTCTGGAGCCCGGCTCCTTTTACCTCACCTCTCAGAGCACAGAACTTTAGGGTTACCGGGCTCCGGGAATACCCAGAACCAGGCAGCCACGCCTGGCGCGCTGAGAACATTCCAAAAGCACCAGACTCCGGCCCCCAACGCGCCGGCGCGTCCGGCCACGTGGGCTTGGGGGCGGGGCGGGACCGGCCTGGGGGCGGGACCTCGGGCGCCCGCGGCGGCGGAGGCGGTATCTTGGCTGCTAGGCGGGATGTGGACCAGCTCCGGGCTCTTAGGCCTCGCTCGCCAGGGTGGTGGGAGGGGCGGGAAGGGGAGGAGAGAGTGGGAGGAGACGGGAGCGGGGCAGGGGCGAAGGAGGAACTTGTTGCTCCCGCGGCTGCGCGGTGTGGTCCCCTCCGCTCCAGTTCGCCCTGGCGGGCGCGGCGACCACAGCAGCGGTGGCGGCGCGGGTCCGGGGCGATGCGGCGCTACCTGCGCGTCGTGGTGCTGTGTCTGGCCTGCGGCTTCTGCTCACTACTGTACGCCTTCAGTCAGCTCGCCGTGTCGGTGGAGGAAGGAGCGGGCGGCGACGGTGGCGGGAAGCCGCAGGCCGCGGTGGCTTCCTGGCTGGCGGGCGGCGGCACGGGAGGCGCTGGCCCCGCGGCGCGTCCCAGCCGGTCGGACAGGTACGGGCCGGTCTGGGTCTTGGCGGCGAGGTCGGGCTGGGGGCGCGAGGGCTCCAGGCTTGGCTTGGCCGGGTCCGGTCGCTCGCGGGCGGGAGCGCGCCTCCCAGTGCTCTCCGGCGGTCCCTCGCCCCCCCCCCCGCTCCCTCCCTCCTCTCCCCAGCCCCGCGAGCCGCGCAGCGCCCACCGCTGAGCACGCTCTGCCTTGCCTTCCCTCCCAGTCCTGATGTGGTTGGAAACTGAATCAACTTGCAACTTTGTTAAGATTCCCTGCCCAGTGGGATTCCCTCTCGTTTCCATGGAGTTGAACTTGAGATAGTTAAACATCACGCTGGCGCCTTCGTTTAGCGCCCCCCCCCGCCCAGTGTCTTTAATTTTTGTGTCAACGCTTACAGTTTTCATCAATAGATTAGTTACATCTGGACCTGGCATTTGTGCGGGTTGTGAATTTTCTTTGGAAACAGTCTGTTTTACTCTGAAACATACAGGAAGTTAAGAAAAATGAGCGATACTTAATCCTACTCAAATCTTGTGGGATGGGATGCAGGGTTGTATCTTTCTTGAAAAATCGGTAAATGTAAAGCAGCATAATGATTGAGGTAGGTATGTAGAAATCACTGCCAGATTTGGAATCATGAGATTTAAGTGGAAAAAGAGAGTGTTTTGCAATTTGTTATTAATACTCAAAATCTGGGCGTTTGGCACTGCCCATCAAGATGGGTACGTTTATTTGTGGGCACCCCTGGGAACGACCCCGGGGGTTTGTTTTCTGCTAAGAGCAGATGCTGCGAGGTGGAGAAAGAGAGCGTTGTTGAGGAGGGAGGGACCAGCTATAAAGCTGCTGTCTAACATCTTCCGAGAGTTGATGATCATTTCCAGAATCAAAGTGGGGACGTTTGGACACAGGAGCAGCCTCAAAAAAGTGGATTGTCTTTTTTTTTTTTCTTTTTTTAACTCTGATTTTATCATAGAGAAATTCCTAGGTTATCAGGACTTTGTTTTTGTGAAAACAGAACTACTTTCAGAGCCAGGCTTTTAACATCTTCCAGTTTTCTGTCCTGGGAGACGCAGTGACTGAAGACTTGAATTTATGGAAGCTAAACTGTTTCTGAGTTTAGTGTTATTGTGATGCCTTTAAAGTTGTCTTTCTTGTATTGAATAGAACTGTAAATAAGCAATATTTTAGTGAAATATTGAATGAAACCAGGCAATTTTTAGTACTGTCTCAGACCCTCAGACCTCCTTCCTTCCTACCTGCCTGCCTTCCTTCCTTCCTTCCTCTCTCACTCCCTCTTTTTTTTTTTTTTTTAAATAGGCTCTCCCTGTGTGTAGCCCAGGTTGGCCTCCAACTCAAGATCTGGAGATACTCCTGCCTCAGGCTCCTTAGTGCTGGTATTACAAGTATGCACCTACACACCTGGCTTGCATCATACTTTTTCAGTGTCATCTTACTTGAAAGATTAGAATTATTCTCCTTTCATCTCTGGACTAAGTTTATATCCAGAAGTTCATTGATCAAATCTTACCAAAAAAAAAAGTATTGTTTGTACAGAATGCCATGAAAATAAACACTTGGAAAAAATCCTTCCAACTCCTTAAAGAAAAACTAATTTTTCTTTCTTTTTTTGGGGGGGCACTGGGATTTGAACTCAAGGTCTCACACTTGCTAGGTAGGCAGGTGCTCTTAACTTCGTGAGCCACTCCACTAGCCCTAAACCTTGATTTTTAAGTAAAAAATTTTCTAGTGAAATCTGTTACCAGTTAGTGTATTCTGTTTGCAACCGTTATTGTAAGTCAAGTGTGGTGGTCCAAGTCTGTAATTCCAGCACTCTGGAGGCTGAGGCAGGAGGATCTTGAGTTCAGGCCAGCACAGGCTACATAGCAAGCTCCTATCTCAAAAATCAAGGGCTGGAGCTGCTGGTCAGTGGTAGAGCCCTTGCCTAGCATGCAGAAGACCCTGGATTCAATCCCTAGCACCACAAAAGTGAAAAAAAATGGAATCACTTTTTTAGTAATTAGAAAATGCTTAAGAGTCACAGTGAGGCATTGGTCAGATTGTTACTTCTCTGCGTTAATTTCTTTACCTATAAAATGTGGGAAATACTTTTACAACTTGATGTTTTGATATGCATAAACATTGTGAAATGGTCACCTCCCTCCTTTTCAGATCTGGTTGGGCCACAAGTTACTGTTTCTATTGGGTCCTGTGTACACTAGTTGGTATAGTGAGAATTTAACGACTGGAAAAAATAAGGACTTTGGAATCACAAACTTCACCTTTGCTAGGAACTGGCTGTGCTGACCTGGAACACATTTCCTTATTAATTAGATATATGAGTCTCTGTGATATTAGAGTTTGTGAGAATTGAAATAGCATCTATAGATTGATTATTTTTAAATGGTAAGATTATTCCCTAAGTGTCATGTCTGTCAAAGTACCCTCTCCTCTTAAATTTTTTTCATAATGTATATACCTTATGAAGTTTAAAAGTTTTGTTTTCATTTTGGCTATGTTTTCTTTAGTTTTAGCTTTTATTACCCATAAGAAAACAAATTTTAACTAGAGGCTTTTTTTCCCCCTACCTTTTTTGTACATTTTAATTTTTAGTCCAATTTTCTTTCTTGAAGGGGGTGAGGAGTGTACTGTGTGATGCTCACTTTTTTTTGGAAATGGTTACATAATTGTTTCAGTGCCATTTGTGTATAGTGTGGCCCTTTTCTTCCTGCATATTCATGAAATTAGAGATTTAAGGAAAGAAGTGAAGGTCTGGTTTAGAGCTAGAAATTAATCTTATATTGTCTAGAGACAATGAGAGTTACCCAGGCAGTGACTTTAAATCATGGTGACTTGGCAGTATCAAAGATGGTCTCCTTTAAAATGTCTACAAGCATCTTTGATTCCGCCCAGCCACAGTGCAGGTGCGTAGGCCTTGCAACTCTCCACTCAAACTGCCACATTCTTAGTGTCACTGCCTGCTTTTTTTCCCTGACTCTAAGTTGTATACGGGTGTTAATGAAGCCTCATGGCTATTGGGAATGTTTTCAATGAAAATGCCTTTCTTGGTTTAATTTAATTTAAAATATATAAAAGGTCTTCTGTCAATGTATTTAAGTAAACTTCAAGTTTGGGAAATGTTATTGTAGTGAACATAATTGTTAAATACTTTTTTTTTTTTTTTTAAAGACAGAGTCTTGTTTTGTTGTTCAGGTCAACCTTGGACTCCCTGACTCAAATGATCCACTTGCTTCACTGTCCCATGTAGCTGGGAATATAGTTGTCTGAGACATCGACAACACTCAGCTTGATGCTTTTTAAAATCTGTCATAAAATATTTCAATTTTTAAGTTTTCAATTACTGAAACACATTTTTTTTGGTCGTACTATGTGTTAAACTCAGGGCCTGACACTTGCTAGGCAGGCACTCTACTATTTGAGCTATGTTCCCCTTTTTGTGTTGGTTATTTTTGAGATAGGGTTTTGCTTTTTATGCCTAGGCAGCCTGGACCACAGTCCTCCTTGCTTCCATGCTTCCGCATGTAGCAAGAATGACAATTTCATGCCTCTGTGCCCAGCCATTGGCTGAAATGGGGTGTTGTGAACTATTTTTGTGCTTGGCTGGCATCGAACCAGATCCTCCTGAACTTGGCCTCCCAGGTAGCTGATATTACAGGCTTGAGCCACCCTGCTCAGCCAAGTACCAAAATTTGGTGAATGCTTATTTGCGATCACTTTGCCCTTTAAAGAACAAACTTTCATCTTGAAATACAGATTCACAGGGAGTTGCAGAGGTACCACATTTATCTTTCACTCACTTTTCCCCAATAATAACTTCTTACAGAACCAAAGCACACTATTACTGTATCTAAAATATATATGTATCAATATAGTACAGTATTACAACCCTAAATGTTCACATTATCCAACCCACAGGCCTTATTTAGATTGTCACCAGTTTTATCACAGGTCTAAATTCATGTAATTGCCTCCATAATCAAGATAGAGACCTGTCTCATCACTACAGAGGTTTCTTGTGTAACTCTTGATCAGTTTGTTATGGTTAGCCACCTAGAACTAAGTGCATTAAGCCTTAGGAAATGAGGAGCCATAGTAAAACTGTTCCAGTTTGATCCACAATTTTGAAAAAGGTTGCATATGTCGACTTCACTGCTTGTGTAGGTTAACGTTTACTGAAGACATACCCACTTAGCTCAGCTTTCTGCTTTGCCCACTGTGATTATTTAGTGGAGTTACTGTTTTGAATGTTACCCAAAAACTGGATAACTACTTTTACTTTTTCACTATTTTTGAACTTTAATTTTTTGGGGGAGAAGGGGGTCTGAAAGTACACTGCTGTCTTGTGTCGTCTTTTCCTAACTTACTTTGTTGTTTATATTAACAGTGGCTGGTATATAATGAGTTCACAGTGTGAACTTCTGCTTTCTATCTTAATCTCCAAAGCTAGTTTTTCATTAATGACAGAGTGGATATTTGGGAGTTAAGAAAGAAAATAATTCCACTTCTTGACAGCAGTACCTCGGTGTTGTTGTTGTTGTTTTTAAATGGTAGATGGCATGTGTATTTTATTAGCATATATATTCTTATTTCCAATAAGTGAAGAAAGAAAACCAGCCTTTCTATAAATTGTGACCATGATTTTGGTCAAGAAATGAACCCAAAACTACTCTTTCTGTCCAAATTCATCTGCAATTTTTTTTTTTTTTTGGTGGTACTAGAGTTTGAACTCAGGGCCTCATACTTGTTAGGCAGTCACTCTACCACTTGAGACACTGCACCCCTTTTTTGTGTTGGGTATTTTCAAGAGAGGATTTCTCAAACTATTTGCCTGGGCTGGCATCGAATGTGGATCCTCTTGATTTCTGCCTCCCAAGTAACTGGAAGTACAGATGTTGAGCCATCAGCTCCCAGCTCTGACTGCAAATTTGATTAACTCTTGTGTGCATTTAATCATTACCACGCAAAGAAACTATCAGATTAGGCAGTG